CTAAAATTGCTTGAGTGGTTCCGAATATGTGAAAAACATAGAAAAATAGTAAAGTTAAATGTCATTGAAAATTGAAAATTCGCGTCGCCGAATCGCGTCCGGTCTGTATGGGCTCTTTATACATTTTCCAATTTTCTACCGAAAACACCGACAGATATTTTGACGCCGTGGTATGCAATGCAATGGGGCTGGATGGCACTGGTTTGCGATTTGAAATTCATTTAAATTGATACGGGAAGGAGTTTTTTTAGCATGTGCAGCATGGGTGTACTGCTGTGATGTGAAAGTGCTTTGCGAAATCGACAGCAAAACAATATTTTCCAAACGTACACATCGGGATTTTGCATGTATTCAAAACAATGAAAAGACTGGACGTATGGAGAACACAGCGATTTTCAAAACACAATGCAATTCGCCACTGGTATTGCGTAAAATGTACTATAAAATACAGTATTTTAAAAATTGTACAATTTTAATTGTTTTGACAACGTTGCATGCAAAATTGATTAGGAAAGCACATTTTTGTAAACGCACAAAAGTTCAAGAAAAATCTATTAAATAATTTGGCAATCTGCATGATTAGCGAATTTATACACTTAGTCCAAAATAGTTACAGTAAACTGTGGCACGGAAATCTTCGTCTAGATTTTGTTAGGATCCTGGAACTTTTTGTCGGTCAGAAGTGAAATACAAAATTTTAACTTTAAAATGCAAACACTCTGATAAATCACAACTATTTGGTCGATACAAGGACTACTACAATGAAATTCGCCCGAAATTAATAGCCCAGGCAAGCAAAATTAGTCAACTGCACAAAACAATAAATTAAATTGTAGGGCAATATTAAACACATAACACGTGTCACAAGATTTGCCCCAGCACATATTTTAATTCAAGTCTTTCCCAAAACTGATATATGGCCTATATAAATAACTATATAGTTTAACGATAAAATAACTACATAACCTTAACAAATTCCTACGTTAATATTAATTAGAGCTATCACAAAGTCTAATATTCTAATTGTTCCCCTACAAATTACCAACAAAGCTTAATTAATAAACTAGAGTTTTAAAAGTGTTCAAATTTTAGTTCACTGCAAGAAATTCAACACACAATTTGTCCGTTCTTGTTCATGTTTTATCTTGCTCCACTCGTCTCACCGATCAGAATTTCTGAACATAGCACAAGTTACATAAAACGTGCTACGAAGAGCGATAATGCAACAAACCAAGGCAGACTTGATTTGAAGGTTGTCGCAGCGCCAGTAGTGGTTGTAGCGTTCGCTTTTGTTGTTGGTCCGAGCGAAGCCGATGGCAGTATCACTGTAGCATTAGCATTTATAGTGCCACTAATCTTGTTGGTGGTAACCTGGCTTGTTGAAATCACGACTTGTGCAGGTGTGGATTGAACGACTTGTTCAGGTGTGGGTTGAACTGTGCTGCTTGCTATCGTATGGTTGCTTGCAGAACACATCACGATAAAAGCCGCCAGGCACACAAAGATAGCGGTGCAGACTTTGGTATTCATTATCGTTTTATAGCGAGCTTCTTAAATAAATTTCTTGGAGTTCCTTCGACCAAGATATATATGGGATAATTTATAACTTCGCCAGATTCCGCGTTCTGCTCCGTAGTTGACTTCAAATGACTAGAGGGCGGAGACTTGCTAAAACTGGAGTAAAGAATGAATAGATGGCCCACTCCTTTGATGTTTTTGACGCTGCCGCCTCGCACCGGAAATTGACGGCCGCCATGTTGCTGGCAAGTAGATTGCAGCAAGTATAATAGGGAAATGTATTGGCGAGAAGTGCATTTTCAGTAATAAAATGGAAAATTTTCGTGATTTTGTCTTTTATCGTATTTTCTGTGGATAGTACATTAAAGGCGAAGGTAAGAGGAGTGTATTTTTGTATTTATGAGATTAACAACTGTATTTAAAGTGATTGAAATCGTTCGTAAGAGTGAGCAGTATGTGGACACAAGATGGTACTGTTTAGACAAATGAATGATATATTGAATATCTGAAAAAATGTCGTTAGATATAACTTTTCTGGACTATTCACGTTTATATTATGTTCTTTCTTGGAGTTCTGTTCAATCATCAATGTCAATAATTATTAATATATAAAATATTTTTAAAATATCAATGTTAAATGCTGGTTTTGATCTTTGATAATGATGGTAAATACTAATCTTGGCATTTTATACCACTTAGATTCTCGAGACTATATTTACATAAATGTAACATGAATATAAAGCATGGTTTATAAGATGTAGGTGGTTTATAAATGGGTTACTTTGATATATTTTCTGCTTTTCTTTTTAGCTGCAAAGTTCCTGTTTGCAAACTTGATTGTGTAATAGATACGCATCCTTAGAAACAACTTCAGCATATATTCCACAGGAAATGTTGGGCAGTGTTGGAATGTGATGGGTATACCATTAAGGGTCTTCAGCAGCTTACCACCGACTGTTGTGGACTTGGTATAAACTGAGAAGTTTTTCACGAAGCTGTCCTCCAGGCACAAAATATAGTCGAGGAAACACTGAGAAGGCATATGTAATCCTCCAGAAGCATTGTCCTCTTTATAGTTTTTGAAGTAGCAGAATAATTTGCTGCTGTTATCCAAATTCGCTGACTCCAAAGTTTCTTTACATGTGGAACAGTCATGGATGTTGAAACATTTCTTCAGGAGATATCCTGCAACATATGCAACAGCATTTTCTTGGACTACACCAGAACTAACATGTTGCTCTCGGTAATCTGTTGCACCAATAACCAGTGTTTGTGGTTGGGGAGTTGGTTGCACCAGAACAGGATTGCTGGACTTGCTGGAAAACTGTGAAAGGAGGGAATCCAAATCTTCTGCACAGTTACCAGTAGTTGAAGTTAGAAGTGAACTGAAGAGTAGTTTCCTAAATGCCCTTGTAAACTGTGTAGGGGTTGGATTGTCACTATTCCCTCCCTGTTGTCGTATAGTGCCAAAGAAGTTTTCTAATGGGTCTGTATTCAATCTTCGTGTGTATAAAAATTTGAAATTGTGGTTCTTCTTCAGATCATCCCAGATTAATAGGATAGCATTAAGGGTTACAAGCCACCCCTTAAGGCACTTAATTCTACCTGTTACCTCTGTATCCCCATTATATACTTTCAAGCTTATTATGAAATTAATGACTTCTTTAAGGAAATTAATGTGATTGGATTTTTCAGTGAAGGCCCTTTTAAGATCTTTAGGTGAATGTAGTGTTGAACTGTTGACACTATCAAATAAAGAATCAAATTTAGAAATGAACTCTGCTGTACCCATGGCAGACTGTGGCAGGAATACGTACGTGATGGACTATGCTTTCCATAACAGCACGATTTTGATGTATAGGCTACGTGTATTACATTGGTTTTCCAGTTATTCTGACATAGGATGCCTTAGATAACTGCAGTATATACATGCATTGAAATAAAGGCACAACAAAGTTCCCTTATTCAAAAACCAAATGGCTAAGCTTCTCTGGCAACTGCAAGACTTTCGCAGTTGGGTAAAAATCTGTCATTTGGGCAAAAAAGACACAAATATCCTGGATGAATTTACTGGGGGGTGGGGTGCACACACCCCTAGCCCTGACCAAAGGGGGCAGGGGGTGTGTGCTATTTTTTATGATAAATCAAAAAAATATTACAGACAAAATGAGATACAGTAATTTGAGTAATAACTTGATAATAAGCAAACGGTGAACAACAATCCAAATACAATAGTCAAGCAAGACTTTGCAGTAGTCAAGCAAGTTGATGGGTAGGTGGCACACCTGACCAACACAACTTGGCACCAGAGCTGGCAGAGCAACCC